CCACCCAAATACGGATCCAGATCCAAATAATATATATGAGAGCCGGATCCAAAACCCATACATAGGATCCGGATTAGGCTTTCTAAAATTTAAAAAAAGTATATATTATATATAAATTAATATATATATATATATATATACTATTTTAAAATCAAGTTGGATCCGGATCAGATCCATCTATACCTGGGTCCAATCCAAATTACTACTTGAATCCATATTTTAGATCCAGATCTGAATTTCTTATCTGAAGATCTATACTGAATCCGAAAAAGATCCCAAATTCGGGTTTTGGATCCGGATCGAGTAAAAGGGGGGGGCATACCGTTCTTCTGACTTTCATATTAGAGAGTGTATTTCATTTCCTTTGCATATCTAGACCATGGTTTAGAGAGAGAGATAGGAGTTCCTTTCCTAAATTGACTTGCATGTTTAAACCATGGTTGTTTTGTAAGCAAGCGTTTAAATCGTTGGGGGCTTTATCAAATGGTTTAGGGGATCCCTTGTGCACATGAGTGTAACACGTCGTTTTGTAAGCAAGCGTTTAAATCGTTGGTGGCTTTATCAAATGGTTTAGGGGACCCCTTGTGCAAATGAGTGTAACAGGGACATGTGTGTGGTGCACTATACGCCACACACAAGCTTATATTAGTTAGGGACGCGGTTAGCATGCAGTCGAGCCCGCATATGTACAAATGCAGGCTTGGCAATAAATATATTTTTTAAATATAATTTGATTCTAATTTTTAAAAAATATATAATTTTTAACATAGAGATCATGCATATGAAAAAATAAATAAATTTTGAAAATTAAAAATAATAATTATATTAAAAAACCATTTGGACTATTAGTTACAATTGTTTTTAGATGGACCACCTAATTGCATTCATCTTTAAGATGGATGCTTTATACCTCTGGACCGCATAATGTACAAATGAGGTCCAACCCACATGAAACAATTGTTCATTAGTTACAACTTTGTGCGTAAATTACTCTTATGGAGCTTTCAATACCATTTTATAAATTACTTGAAAAAAAACGCTTTTAAGTTAACTACTGGGTGCAAATTGTGCATTTTGTCCCTTGGGTAATACTAATTTGCGATCCAATTTTTGTAATGTGACCTATGCGATCTTGCGACCAACATAAAAAGACAACCTAGATCAACATAAAAGGAAGTTACACCTTAAGATTGCACACAGACCATTCAAGAAGAGATCCAAGTGTCTAGGTCATAGTTATGAAAACTAAATTAGACCACGTGATCTGACTAGTCGGACTGTTGAACGATACATTGGATGGTTTGCTCTAAAAAAAAATTGTAATTCGGTAAAAAACTGATTAAAATCAATATTTTATTTGTTTTAGGTGGTTGGACTGATCGGATTGGATTGATTTTTCTTGTATATTTTTTGTTTTAAAATTATTATATTTATTTTTTTTATATCTTTTAAAAAATGGGTTCAATCAGTTCAACATCAGTTTTGATTGGACCAAACATTGTTGGCTAGACCAATCTTGTTAACTATGATTTAGATACTTAGAATCTTTTTTTAAGAATATATACGCCTTATGGTCATTTATTTGAGGGAGTAAATATAAAGTTTGCTCACGCACTATCGCAATCTTAACGGCCAAAAGTTTTGCTACTCCCTCACAAGCATACTCTCCCTCGGGTAAATCTCAAACTTAGGATAAATTTGGAGATGTAACCTAACAATGAACCTCAAAGAAAAAAATTTGAGTCACTCTCTTTGTTCCTTAAAAAATAAAAATAAAAATAAAATAAAATAATAAGATTGAGTAGAAACCATTTAATTTTTAAAAGGTGAGATTGAGGTATTCAAAAACTCAAAATTCCTTTTTTTCTTTCCTTAAAATAGTCATCTAGTAATACTTAGATCCTAAAATTGTGGATCAAAAAAGTTCTCCCCAGTAGCTCTCTTCCCAAAGGAGTTGTACAATATGCTCCCTCAGGAGCATGCTATATCTCCCAAGATCATCGATGCATTATAACTTCAAGTGATACCAGGGTGCTACCACCGAACGCCTATAGTATGATGTACCCTGTATCACAGCCCTTGTGCCCTAACCATCAAGCCCAATTCCGAAATTGCCCTTGCTCTCCTCTCTCGCACACACATTTACTTTATGGGTGCAATTTGTATAGAGCCGAGGCTCTAAACAATCAAAGTATAGCGCACCTTCAAATAGTGTCGAGAAATGTGGTTTCAATATTGAAAATCTTTGTGATAACCTTAAAATATATTTTTATCTTTAATTATAAAATTTAAAGCTTCAAAAATAGTGCAGATCAAGCAGATCTATAAAAACTTGAAAATCTCAAAAATTGACGGTCGAGAAATGCATTACAACATGCACTATTTCCAAAACTTGAAATCTATGTTTTTCTTATGTCCATGCATCTTGATATCGAGATGATCAATTTGAAGATATTTGGGCATCAAAACAACTTCTTCTAGTGAAATTTTTGAGGTGGGTTCTAATTTGATTGTTTAGAGCCTAGGCTCTATATAAACTTTTTCCTTACTTTATTCAACTTTTATTATTTGATATTTTAAACAACAAAAAAATTTATATAAGGTTGCAACCTTAAAAGTAGAATTAAGGTGCTTCTCAAAAATCCATCAAAAAAAGCTGCTTTGATATTGAAAAAACCCTATGATTGATCATCTTGATATTAAAATGTATCAATATGAAAAAGAAAAAAGTTAATGAGTCCTAAAAACAATACATCTTGTAACATATTATCTAGATCATCCATTTTTCAAAATTTCCAAGTGTTTATAGCTCTACTTGATTTGAATCATTTTTTGAGCTCAAAATTTTATAATTAGATGTGAAAATAGATTCTTAGGCCATCTTAAAAAATTTTTACACCAAACTTACATCTTATGATAAAATTTGGAGCTGTAATTTACTTTGATTGTTTGAAGTTGCTACCTTATACAAACCACACCCTTCAAACAAAGGGAAAGCTGGGTAGCTGCACACATAATGTTTGTTGCCCCATAATCATTTTAATTGAACAGATTGGAGTGCGCTGAGAAAACGTCAAAAGTGTCCATCATGTTCACTATCTACTATCAGATCAAATATCAAACGACTAAATGTCTTCAAACCAATGTTGTAAAAATCGGCGAGTCAAACCGGACTCGTCCGGGTTCGACTCGAGAACTGGTACAGCCCGTGCTGGTTCCAGTACAAAAACGGGAACCGCCCGATTCTACTCGATTCACTCCTGATACGCATGCGACACACACGTTCGATGTGGGATAATTCCCAAACATCATTAAATGAATCAAGACTGTAAATATATTCTATTAATCAGCAAATTACAACTATATGTGATGAGGTGGTGTGGTGGTTAAGACCTTAGTTTTTTTACTTGATGTCTCAAGGTCGAGTCCCCTCGTGAGCGTTACATTTTTGTGTAGTATATATTGTATAAATATTTTTGTAAATAATATAAAAAACATAAAAAATAAAAAAAGTTAATTTTTTGTATAGCGGTTAATTTTTGTTGCATATAGTGATATAATTATTTTTTAAAATAATATGAAAAGCATAAAAAAATAAAAAATAAAAAATTTATTCTATTTGAAATATCTATCTTTCTACTAACAATCTCTTTTACTAAATTTATTATAGAAACCTAAAAAAATAAATTTTTGAAAAATTGAAGTGTTATTTTCAAAATTTGTACGTATTTTATTAATTTTTATATTGATAACCAAATCTTTTATTTTATTTATTAATTTTTACATTATAAATCATATAATGTACTATTTTTCTTACAGTTGTCAATAATACATTTTAAATTAGATAATATTATAAAATATTTTTAATTTGTTATTATTTGTCTAAGCAAATAATTATAAAATATAAACTAATAATTATAATTTCATTATACAATATTATAATTAGTTAGGTTTTAATAATTTTGGATTATAGTTAGTTAGACTGTAATAATTTAGATTTTTTTTAGCAGATTAGGGTTTTTCGCCAAAACGAGATTTTAATGGCCATTCTTTCATTGATTAGTCTACACTTTATAATAGTCCATGTATAATTATATATTTTATCTATGATTTTTTCTTTTATGTGATGCAAATTTATGGTTAACATAAGTTATACAAGAAAAAAGCA